TGATGTGGTCACAGGGGTGCTTACAAGGAGGAAGCAGGAGGTCAGAGGAGAGAAGATGCTAGACTGTTGGTTATGAAGATGGAACAAAGGGACATGAGCCAAGGAATGAGGGCAGCCTCGAGAAGATGGGCAAAATGCAAGGAAACAGATCCTCACTTTCCCTCTGGAAGGTCCGGCGCTGCTTGCCCATTTTAGATTTGTAACCACCATAGCTCTAGGAGAGTAAATGTATGCCATTTAAGCCACTGAATTTGTGGTAATTTGCTACAGCAGCAATAGGAAACTAATATGTTTGCTTTGTTTCTCTGTGTTTGTGTGTGTGCGTGTGTGTGTGTATTATGAGGTTCTGACTCTATATTAATAGTTTTAAAGTAGAAAGAAACCCTGGTTGAAAGATATTTGGGGTGAGAAAGTCTTCTTACTGGAAAAGAGAGAAAGTTCTGAATGAATAAGGACAAGGATCTGTTTTACTTCTGACTTCATCCTGTCTTGGTTCTGAGAGACACAACTGATTATTAAATTTTGGGTACTCTTAAAATATTTTTAAATATTAAAACATTAAAACCAAAACACAACAAAAACAAACCAACAAAACAGGGACAAAGTTCCAGGCATAGGGGCATCCAGCAATAGGCCAATATGCTTATGTCATGTTTATTTGATTTATCATATCCTCGAGTTTTGCTAAGGTATATAGTTGCAATTTATAGCTTCATATATGGGCTATTTAGAAAACAAAAACACCTACAAATGTTACATAATTCTCCACCATTAATCTACCAAAAGTGTATTTGGTGGCAGCTTTAGAGGACTCATGGAACAGAAAAAGTCTTTTGAATTGGAAGGCTGAGGTTTATATTCCACTCTGCCATGTTTCCCCGTGGCCTCTAATCCTTCCAATATCTTGTGGGAAACCAAATGATAGTTCTCACTGAAGACCGGAAAAGGCGAAGGATGGCTGGGACCAGGGAGCTCTAAATCTTATATCACAGCTGCTCAAATTGCATCAGTCTCTTTCAATTTCTTACTTTTAATGGTCACCCTGGCTAAATTTTATTTCTGCATTAAATGCTACCATTTTATTTTCTTGTCCTTTGTGAATATATGTGGCAACTCTGAATGGCTTTATCTTTCAGCCAGCGCCTGTATTTTCAATAAAAGCCCCTCTACAGATGTTCATGTGAGGCTGCATATGGCAGCCTGGCTGCTGGCCAGCTAGGTAGATTAGGCTTGCTTGGGTGTTCCAGAAACACATAGTTATTCTTTCCATAGCCTAAAACGAGAATTCAGTTTTATTTCTTTTGAATGGGACTCCTTAATCTCTTAGTTTGCCTTGTGGGAAATGCATTAGTATTTCTGACTAGAGCTCACGGTTATTTGCCCTCTTTTGGTTTTTTTAAAGCCTAGATTAGTCACCTTAAAATCATAGAAATATAATCATGGAATGAGTAGGGTTTAAATGTTTGAATACTAAAATGTTATAAAGTTTTAGTGTAAACACTTAAGAAAAATATTTTAAAGTCCCCAAAAAGAGGGCAGTGTTTCAGCAGAAATCAGACTTTCATATAGCTCCATACTGTCCTGTTACCTTTGTGACATTGAAGGATGCTCTGGGAAGCTAAGTGTCTTTATGGGGTGCAGTTCTGTAGCATTGGTTCCTGGTGGCTAGAAATCTCCATGTTCTGCATTATTTAGATACAGACATTCATGGCTCAGCACGTGTCATAAAATAAAGTAATAAACTGTATATCTCACTGTATCTTTGGGAATTCTACAAAAATATTTTTTAAGATTTTCCCAATTTCCCATGGCCCCCTATAATACCTTCCTGTGACCTAGAAGTATATTTTATTGAGGCAACATTGCTATATATGGAGGTCTTTAGATGTGGATACCTCTATGATATTAAGGGCCATATTTATGAGATGTCAGCATGTGAGTTAGTGACGCTTTTGCTTGTGTGTGGCAGAGCATTTGGGTTAGACTGACTTCTGGAAAAGGACCACCCAATCTTTGCAGATGACCTAACAAGCTGCTACCAATTCCAAGAGGAAAATTCACTAATACCTTAGTGAATGAGAATTGTTTGCATCACTTGAGAATATGTCAGCTGCAGAACCTTTGCCTAATTTGACTCTTACAGAGTCAGTCTGATTCCATTAGTAATTTGATAAAAAGTGGGAGCCAGCTGGCTCCAGACCAGGTGTCAGTATGCCCCCAGCCTGCAAGCGCACTGCCACTTTGTGTGGTGTTGCTCTGTTCTGTAAAACAGATGTTGTGATTCACTCCAGACATCCTGCATTTCATTAGGGAGTGAAGTAGTCACTTAGTTATCTCATTCCTTGGTTTTCAATGGACTGAACATGTGTGGTCTGTAAATTCTGATCCCATTTTAACTGTTACTTAAAGGATGTGCTTTAGAATGCCATCACCCCCATCATTCTTACAGTTTTCTCTCCTACACAGTAGGTTTCTCTGCTCTTTTTATTGATAGATGAATGACTCTAAATCACAGTCAGAAGAGACAATTGTTCAACATGCAGTGGTTTTCAGATGTTGTTATTCTCCTGAAACAATGCTTTTTTTTTCTTGAGATAACATTGACCTTATAATTCAGAAGCTTGGTTTCATAGTTAATAAAGAATTCTAAGTGCGGTTAAGCCAATTGTCTCCTATTGGTTTCTTAACAGTTACAAACTGATACTGAGACAGTGTCTATGTGCGTAATGGTAATAGAAGCCGACTGAGTACCAGCTCAGGAGAGGCAGAAAACCTGAAGTGTTGGCCTGTCACGTTCACAGCGTTTCCATCCGTGGTGTTGGCCGTAAACATGGAATAGGTAGATAGGTAAATGAATGGATCTCCAACCAACCATCCATTCAGGGTCTTCTATATCCCATGTACTGCATCTCCTCTACTCCGTTCTCTGCCACTGGATTGCAGAGGTAAATAGCAGCAAACTTCAGCGATCGCCTGCTTTGAATGTTGTACTTCATGGTAAATACACTCTGCTAAAGTCTCCTTGTTCACCGTATTTTGCGTGCACTGTTTCTTGTTTGTTTGTTTCCTATAAGATGCTTTGTGCAGTATTTATCTCTTTTGCACTATCCAGTGTCTTCGGTAGAATGAAGTGAACATTCTTTTTTACTCATAATTGTTACAACAAATAATGACTCTAATGCTTATTGGTCATTATCATTTTAATTTATACTTTTTTAAAGTAGGATGCGGTAGAATATGGCAGTAGAGATCAGCCCTCTTTCTTTTGTTTCTTCTTTTAAGTACCTTTCATTCCTTTCTCCTACTTCCTAATTGATATAAATTGCTTCTTTCATTTCTTCCCTTACTCCTCCAAAGCCAGTGATAATAGACGTCCGTGTGTTAAGGAATAGATAACTGGCCAGCACTAAAGGAGAACCATTCTTAGTCAATTTTTTTCTTTTCAAAATTACAAAGACGTATGTCTTAATTAAATTTAGAATTGTGATAACTTCACAAAATTAAAAAAACATGTATGCAAAAATTTATGTGCAAATATTTTATGCTGCAGAGACTGCAGGAAAATGAACGAATTTTTAAGTATACATTCTATTTCTCCAGCTTTATTCCCCTTTACTGGGAATGATAGTTTATTTTTTGAAGGTATGGTGGCTTTTCTAGGGAAGGGAAAAAGCCTTGATTGGCAATGGCAAATAACCTAGAATTCCTGGAATTATTAATAATTAGGCCATTACTATTTTCAGTCTGCCTCAAACTTTCCTTTGTGTTATTTAATGTGTTATACATTTAATGAATTTTTATTTTAAGAATTTGCTTCTGCACATCATTAAAGCTTGGAGTTGAGGCCGCTGGCTGGCCAGTGAGCTTCACAAACATAGATAATGAGCTACATGAGGGGCAAATCTTCCACCAACACCACAAGGGTCTCTGGTCCAATGAGTGAAGTTTGATAGCAATTCTTGCTACAAGTATTAAAAAATATAAGAATTTGCTAAGACCTATGCATAAAAATTACTACACGGGAAAATTAGAATAACTTTTAAAGGCATACTAAACTTTGCAAGCTCTAAATATTAAAATAAGTGTACCATCTATCTTAAAAGTAACTTAAAAATAATTTAGCCTTGAGGCAGGTAGAGGGAAAGGGAGAAGTAGGCTCTCAAAAAAAAAAAAATCTAGCCTAAAACCATATTAGTATTTTCTAATAATATGGGTTGTAAGATCGAAATAAAGAAGTATAGGGGCGCCTGGGTGGCTCAGTCGTTAAGCATCTGCCTTCGGCTCAGGTCGTGATCCCAGGGTCCTGGGATCGAGTCCCGCATCGGGCTCCCTGCTCCATGGGAAGCCTGCTTCTCCCTCTCCCACTCCCCCTGCTTGTGTTCCCTCTCTTGCTGTGTCTCTCTCTGTCAAATAAATAAACAAAATCTTTAAAAAAATAAAGAAGTATATAGTGTAAATTCCCATTGTTTTATTCTATTAAGATTTACTGTGCTTAATTAATTTCTGTGAAAATATAACAGTTATTTTTTTAGGTTTTCTTCTTAGTTTAAATGCCCCAAGGTAGGATGATATTCAATAGTTTATGATCATCAAAACCAGAAGGAATCAATTTTTAAAATGCAAGTGTTTAAAGTTTTCTGATGCATTCAGTATAAACTTAGAATTGTATTCAGAGTAAAATATCACTGTTATTATAACTTGTCTAAATCCTGGAGTTGATTGTGATAGTTTTGTGATAGTTTTGATTGTGATTTAGTTGCAATAGTTTAATAATAGAATTTCACATGGAGTTATTGTGCTGTTTTCCTCATGTTTTTTCAGAGACTTTACATTCTACTGATTTTACACTTCTTTCAATAATATTCTATACGGGTTAATTTATTTGTATGTCCTGAGCATGTTTTATTGATGTGAATTTCTGCTCCAAAGGAAAGAACCCATTTTGAGTGATATGCGTTCTTGTTTTTGTTTTTCTTTCCCTTTCTTTCTTTTTTTAATAGGCCTTTGGTGAGTTTGAGATTGAGCAGCATCAAGAATGTGCTTATGATCACTTGGAAGTATTCGATGGAGAAACAGAAAAATCACCAATTCTTGGAAGACTATGTGGGAACAAGATACCAGAGCCCCTTGTGGCTACTGGAAATAAAATGTTTGTTCGGTTTGTTTCTGATGCATCTGTTCAAAGGAAAGGCTTTCAAGCCACACATTCTACAGGTCAGCAAATTAGAGTCATGTTTCTCTTTCCTGATCTAGGTTTCTCTTCCAGTGAATGCAGTGGATCCTATAACAGGAACATTAATGAATCTCTGAGCACAGCAGAAGAAATCTCACTGAAGCACTGTGTGAAATATTTGAGAGCTATGTAGCATCCTACTCAAATATCTTTGTAGTTGCTGAACGTTTAGAAAGCAATGCAATAGTTTGATCTGATTCATGTCCAATGCAGTATGATCAAGTAGAACTATCTCTAAGTATTTGTATAATGGATTCCATATTAACTTGAGCCGTTTGATTTATAAATGCTCTATTTAACAGTTAGAAATCTATGTCTTAGTATTCAAGAATCATGTTTTCTCTAACATCCTACCTGGTTGGCTAGCTTTTGCATTAATGTATTTTTGTAAGTCTGATTTGGAATTTATCTCTCCATTGTACAGAGTCTCATTTGTTTTTCCTTTTATTTAGTGTGCAATACAATCTTTCTAATCCTAATCCCTAATTTGACTTTGTAATGGAAGTTTTCAAGAAATAAAATATAATTTAGGAAATATATGGAAGATTTTAGGCAAAAATATAGAATAACATTTTTTAATAATTTGGGTCCAGCTTAATACTCTATTTCATAAACGTCTAGGAAATGTCCTTTTTTTACATTCAGTTAAAAAACAAGTCAGTTGGGCGCCTGGGTGGCTCAGATGGTTAAGCGTCTGCCTTCGGCTCAGGTCATGATCCCAGGATCCTGGGATCGAGTCCCGCATCGGGCTCCCTGCTCGGCGGAGAGCCTGCTTCTCCCTCTGCTTCTCTCTCTCTCTGTCTCTCATGAATAAATAAATAAAATCTTAAAAAAAAAAAAAAAGTCAGTTGTTTGTAGTTTCCTAAAGTCATTTATCTTATAGTGCCACCTAGTGGTACTATTGATGAATAAACTATTGAGACTGCCTTGTAGAACTGTCTTGATGTAATAATATAATACACAGTGTAATAGTATACAAATTTGTCCATAAAGCAATATAAGTGCAGCAATTTTTTTGTCATGGGTTCTGGTTATTGTTTTTATTTTCTTTTTGTTTAATTTTGTTTGAGAAATCAGAATTTTAATTATTCCACTGTCCAATATTATTTTCCACTTTATTTTATTATAAGTATTAGATTTATATTGGAGTCTATTTATGAGAAAGTGAATATTGTCAGAATATTTATCTGATTTGTACTAGTAATGGTTGAACTCATTAATAGTGCAAATTAATTATTTCTCATCAGTGATATAAATATTTTGGTTTGAGAAGAATCTTTCAGGGACTACAGAAATTTCATACTAATGAAGGTTTTTCCATACACTTGACATTTACTCTTTAAATATTTTCCTGATAACTTGTTATGCATTAAAGGGGTGGAGTGATTGCAATCCCATTACTTCATCAGTACTTTCCTGATAGCATAGGGTTTATGGCATATATATCTGGCTATCACAAGTTCCAGGAATGCAGTATGAAAATATGCTGTCAAAATTCTTGAAATAGCTGACCAAATATTTTTAAAATACTAACCTATGAATTTCCCTTTCTTTTTTTTTTAAATTTTTTATTGTTATGTTAATCACCATACATTACATCATTAGTTTTTGATGTAGTGTTCCATGATTCATTGTTTGTGCATAACACCCAGTGCTCCACGCACAACGTGGAGCACAACCCATCACCAAGCTAACCCATCCCCCCACCCCCCCTCCCCTCTAGAACCCTCAGTTTGTTTTTCAGAGTCCATCATCTCTCATGGTGAATTTCCCTTTCTTAGTTTAATAAGAACTTACTTTTATAGAATCTCTTTTTACCCTTTGTGAGTAGAATGATTAAGATTTATATTATGTTCCAGTATGTAGGTACATTTGGGTTTTTAGTCCAGTTATGCCATTACCTAGCTGGGAACTTTGGAAAAGAAATTTCTTTGGATATCAGTTTCCTCATCTGTAAAATACTATTTAAGTTTCATTATAGCTATTAACCTCCATGATTCCTTAATTTGTATGGCCTTTGCTCATGGATCCTATTTGCATCGTTTATATTACCATTAAGAATCCATTGGTAGGATCCAATTAAGTTCTCAGGAGATCTTATATTGAGATCTGATGGTATATATAGCATGCACTTGGCATTTTAGGCACACACATGTACTTAACATACACTTTACATATATTGAGTCCTTAAAAGATTATATGTTGTATTATTATCCTCATTTTTCAGAAAAAGAAATTGAAAATCTAGAGGATTAAATATGCAGAGATTTCTAAGATGACGTCAAAGCCTGGAGTTTATCCTTACTCTGTCTCCAGAATGCCTCACATACATTCCACCATAGTATATTTTCTCTTCATGTAAAAGTTTTAGATTAGGAAGCAAATCGATATAAAACCAGTCACTGTTGCTGAAGCAATACGTAGAGACTGAATGCTTCCTTATGTAAGTTTTAAAAAACCCTCTGTTCGAAGTATGTAACTGACTAGGCTCATTTTATTTCCCCGTTCAGTTCACATCCATTCAAATACCCACGTGAGCCACCTGTCACATTTTTGTTAGGCAAGACATGCCTCGGATTTTGTTTAATCCAGCCCTGTCATCCTACATATGAGGATTCTGAACTAAAAACTAAATGACAACCAAAGTAGAACAAAAAAATAACAGTTGGTATTAGAATCCTGGCTTCTTAACTTCTACTCATTTGCTGTTGTCAACATTTTTGGTATTATCTGTTTGTGGTTTTTTTCTCTTCACCCATAAAATTTTGCTCCTACTTACTCAGCTATCTTTTCTGGGTCTATTTGTTTCATACTGTTACTTTCTAATAGCCAAACATGCTGAAACCCTCTTATGTACTGACTACTATTTATCTCTTCTCCAAGCTTGCTCTTTAACAAGTTCATTTATTCCATAGTCTTTCATCAAATATTTATTTGGTAACTGTTTTGGATAGACACTGTAAGGTATTCCTAATTTATGGCAAAAAGCTGGGAATTTGTGGGAATTTACAGGGAAATAGAAGGAATTCCTTCCTGTTGAAGCATACAGTCTAAGTGTAGCCTCTGATTTTCAGAAGTTTCTGTACTTCTGGTTTTTCAGTCAGTTTCTACTGACAAGACAGGCAAGTCCAGTACCACATCAGTCCATTTTTGCTACATGTATAGAACACTTATTCATTATTTACTGCCTTCTAGAATACATGTAACTATTATCGATGGACCCTGACATACACATTTTAATCTGCTTGAGTAAATTTATATTTTTTATATACAATTTGAATTTTATCCATGGGAAAAACTTCTAATACCATGAATTTTGAAACCAGGTGATTAGAAATATTGCTCTAATATGGTTTTATGGCTATTTTTTTCACAAGTAATACTGTGAAAAAAATCCATGAGAAAAGGACTTTATTGGAAAGAGTCCTTTTTTCCCTCTGATGGTAGGTCTAAATTCTAAGCCCAACTATATTTTAATCAGGTAATGAATGGTATTACACCACCCTTAGATAAACTTATTGAAGAAACAAATCAGTAAAAAAAATATCCTGTGTATTGTCTCAGAGGATATGGCTATAATATAGAAAAAGAGGGAAATGTGGAGAGAAAATAGTCTTTTAAAACATGGCCTGTCCAAAGAAAAAACAGAGAGGGAGGCAGACCATAAGAGAGACTCTTGACTATAGAGAAAAAGCTGAGGGTTGCTGGAAGGGAGGTGCGGGGGCGGGGGGGGGGAGCTGGGGGGGGGGAGATGGTTAAATGGGTGATGGTTAAGGAGAGGTCACTTTTTGTAATGAGTGCTGTAAGTGATGAATCACTAAATTCTACTCCTGAAGCTAATATTACACTATATGTAACTAACTAGAATTTAAATAAAAACTTGAAACATTAAAAAAACAATAAAATAAGACATGGCCTGTCTGGTAGGACTTCTTTGCTGTAGCATTGTACTATGCATCAATGACATTTAAAAGTCAAATAATGCATGATTAAAGTTCTTAGAAAGGAAGTTATTTTGATCTAACTCAATTAAATTAGAATGCCCACTAAAAGCATGTATAGGGTCAAATTACAGGACCTCTTCGGGAATTTAATACTTTATGGGGAAATAAACAATCATGTCTTTCCAAATTAAAATGAAATCCACCCCCCCCAAGCTGCTCTTCCCTTTTTGTCACCTTTCTTATTCAGCTTCATTTTCATTTTCCAGAATTTTGTAGAAGATGTTCTGGCAGCTTATGAAGTATTTTCAAACAACTAATTTAAAAACAATACTGCGGACATGCTACACTACTTTTATATTGTTCCAACTTGGTAAATGGATAGGAATATTTGCAGGAAATGTATTTAATTAAATACCTCCTTTAAAGGGACCATATTAAATGATGTAGTGACCATATTTTGAAGAACTGCCTCAAGGATTCTCAAACTGCCCTCACGCTGCCTGTAATTTTCTGCTTATGGAATTTCTCTCAGGGCATATTAAAATCACACATCTTGTGCATATAATATTAAATCTTTGTTCTTAAAAATTTTATCCTGTGGACTGAGTTTTCTCTCTCTCTCTCTCTTTTTTTCATGGTTGGATCATTAATTCCAGATTTATTAGTTTGATCAGTGATCCACAGGAAGGCCGTTGTGTACTGAAACAGAGAAATGAAAATAGACAAACATAATGGAACATTTTAAGTCATCCTTAAATGTAATTTATTTATTTTGAATATTGCCATTTTCTAGATGTTTTCAGTAAAAGCAAATAATAACTCCTCACTGTCATTTTCAGATTCACAAAGGTTTCGTGAAATCTCCTTTTCCATTTTGTTCAACTACTTCATTTCCTCCTTGATTTTTGTTCCAAGTTGGGGCTGGCAGAGAATTGTCTCTTCTGAATCCTGGTCTTTTGTCCTGCTACTTTGCTTCTGCAAAGCAGACACACCGAAACTAGTGCTTTCTTTATATCTCCCAGTGGGCTCCTTCAGCTCTTCCTGGCTGTGGAATAAAAGTAATCCAAGTGCTGGCAGCTTTTTTTTTTTTTTTTTAAGTTGAAACCAAAACAAATCAGGGAATTATATATCAAACTTTGAGAATAGGTAGAATTTAAAAAATTCTCTAAGTGAGATTACACTGGTTTATACATTTATATATTAAATTTGGAAATATTTTTCACAAAATATTTTACTGGCCTTCAAAAATACAAGTCTTCCTTTATGATAGTAGATTAATAATGTTTTAAATTGTTTTTCATTTTATTCTGGCTTTTCATTTCATACCTGAATGGATCCCTAGCAACAGCACAGATGATGGCATTTAGATGTTCTCATTAGACAATAATGATTGTAATGGTGATGGCTTACACTAATATGGTCTTTCCTCTGTGCCAGGTATCCTTCAAACATTTGACATATATTAACTCATTCACTCTTCATCTAGACCCCATGACGTGAGTGCTATGTATGATCCTTGTCTTAGAAATGGAGTGTGAGACAAAGTCCCTCAGCTGATGAAGGGCAGAGCTCAGATTTGGACCCAGGTCGTTTGGCTGTGAAGATCTGTCATAGAGGAAGGACAATAATTTTTGGAATTAGAGAAGCACCATGGTAGGAAGGGTAGAATGTTTGGCTTCTGGTCTATGGGAGTCAAGAGATGATATTCAAGAGATGAGTTGAGCTTTCAGGTGATTCTAACTCATTTACATTTGCAATAGTATCAGTATATACTATATGCTATATCGATAGATTGTGCAAGATGCCCCACCTGACACCTGGAACGTGGAGGGACACTTACATTCTTCATGGAACACAGCCCAGTGGGGGAGTCATTCTCACGATTGAAACCCTGGTTCGAAGTTTGTTCATATGTTAGTCACACACAAGAATCTAAATGTCTTTGTAACAGTGCCGGTAGGTTTGGTTGAGCCTATGCGTATTTAGATACATCTGAATGGGGTTTCATCCTGGGGATTCAGACATATTTTGTTGTTTAAAATCATCAGTGTAGGTAAGCCATATACAAATTGGAAAAATCCAACTAAGTGTTTTTAGTTGTGTAATCCGTCCTCACAGGGTGCCGCCAGGACTGTTTGGTTGCAGATGACCATGAAAATGTTACAGTGGTGTCTTCATATCTAGGGTCCTGGCTTGTCCACATCTTTCCATGTTGGATTTTTGGTTTTGTCCTCTCCCAACTTATCCCAGTTTTCCTGGGACTTTTCTGGTTTTAGCCCTGAAATCACTGTTTCCCAGGAACCTCTCAGGACTTGACAAACAGAAACAGAAAGAAACTCTACTTTCTTCTAACATTTTTTATAGCCCTTTTTTATCTTCTTCTTCCCTGACCCCCTGCCATAAATTTGCATGTGTACTGGTTGGAGGGGATCTCTATTTAATCTCTGGGTGTTTGGTTTTTTGTTTGTTTGTTTTGTTTTTTTAATCTCTAGTCATTAGGAAGTTTTGGGACTCAGATTACAAAGTTTCTGAGAAAATTTTTTGAAAACTTTCATTTCTAAATTATACTAGTTGTGCATTTTTATGCATACTCATCTAGTTATTTGGTATATTTACCTCTAGTGACAAAAGTAATAACTGGTAAACCATATGTTTATTAATATCTCTCTGAAAAAGAAGCTGTGAAAAGAGCATTTAGGTTTTTTTATTTATTACAAACACAAAATACACTTAGTAGGTTCTGGGACTACAAATGTTATTACAGTTAAAGTGCGTGTATGTTTTTCCCAACCAAGTTATATAAATATTTCTACCTAAAATTGTTCTATATAGTCTATGTAGAGTTCTATATCATGCATATACACACTGGCGTTTTATATATTTTTCCAGTTTTTAAGTTATTTCTTATTCCTTTGGATTCTGGGTTCTTAAATGAGTAAGATTAAACCTGAGTTAAGATACTGATCTTTTTTTTTTCCCCTATGAAAACTAGTTATTTGAGACTAAAAACAGTATTATGTATAACAATAAAAATATTTATGAGAGTTACTACATGCTAGGCACTGTTTTAAGTGATTTTCCATGTATTCATTAAATCCTCAAAATCCGCTGAGATTGGTACTATCATTATCAACTGCATTTTGCCCTATGGATCAGAGAAGCGACATCACTCATTTGAAGTAACTGAGCTCGATGGTGTTGGAGGTGATATTCCAACCCAGCAAGCTCTGTGTCCAGGGCCTGTGGTGGGACCTGGTGCACCATCACACTCTACGATTATAGGAAACACATCTGATGATGTAAATGCATTCAGAAGTTAGAGAACTGCATTAGTTCTGCAATAGTTACACTGCATTGAAGTTGAAATTGGACTTGTTAAAACTCACTGACTTTATTTCATTTTTCTTTCCTGAGCAGAGTGTGGTGGCCGACTGAAAGCAGACCCGAAACCCAGAGATCTGTACTCGCATGCGCAGTTTGGTGATAACAACTACCCGGGACAAGTGGACTGTGAATGGCTGTTAGTGTCAGAACGGGGCTTTCGACTGGAGCTGTCCTTCCAGATTTTTGAAGTGGAGGAAGAAGCCGACTGTGGCTATGACTATGTTGAGCTCTTTGACGGTCTCGATTCAACAGCGGTGGGGCTTGGTCGATTCTGTGGATCAGGGGTAAATACAGTACCAACAGGATCCCATAGCCGTGGTAGAAAATGCCCATTGATTCATGATTGTTATGTGCACCATATGCAAATCGGCAATGTTTTTACGAGAAAAGGTTACACCTTATTATTATTGCCTCTTCTTCCTTACCTCTTCTCCATCTAGTGAATTTTCCCAATAATATCACACAAGAGAGAAGAATTTAGTAGGTATAAATGCTGGTTCCTGTTCACATTCTAACTTTTTTATTCATGTTCTTACTGTGCAATAAATGTTTAAACATTTAAGAATCTAAAGGCAATAAATTTAAACACCACCTTTGACGATTTGGTAAGTTTCCTAAATTAAAGCATAAAGGAAAAGGAATTATGCACACAATTCAAATTGACATTCCCCTCTCAACGAAGACGCTTGTTGAATGGCAGGCGCCACCACTGGTATGTGGGCTTAGCCAGTGCTGCCGTAATGCCGTTCCATTGCAGTGTGTCACTTGTGCATGGGACAGAATGCCCGATACAGGTCAGAGAGTGTCACCAGGAGAAATAAGAAAAAGGAAAGCTTGAGATTTCCTTCATGCTTTTTTCCCCCAGGACTCCCTGCATAAATATCAAGCCGTCTTCTGAATACATATTTTGTTCCGAAAACATTAGTCCCATTTTTTGTCCACCAGTGTCTATTGCTTACATAATACTGAACTTGAATGATATTGAATTCCTTTCCAAATATCAGCTGAAATGAAACAAAATCTTCTTGGTGTTTAGATTATTAAAGCAAGAAGGAATGGATGATTTGGATTCTGGAAGTGGCTCTGCCTCAGAGCTCCTTCTGAAACAAATTTAATATCTCTTTACCTTCTTTGAACCTTACTTTATTTACTTGTAAATCAAAGGAACTTGGCTTAAAATTTGGGGGAAAAAACTCACCAAGTTCCAGAACTTGGAAAGAGACTTATATTCCAAGCCCAGCTATATCAGTGCCTATGATTTTGAGCATGTCATTTGCTTTTCTGAAACTCAGGTTTGCTCACCTGTAAGATGAAGAAGTCACTCATACCCACTTTTCAAAGTTGTTGGGAGGATTAAATCATAAACCAAAAAAAAAAAAAAAATCCCAAACAAACATGAATTACACTGAAGGAAAAAAGTGACTCATTCTGTTGTTTATTTGCCTGTTTGTTTGTTTTTGTCTTCAGCCACCAGAAGAGATCTATTCAATTGGGGATGCGATTTTAATTCATTTTCACACTGATGACACAATCAACAAGAAAGGATTTCATATAAAATACAAAAGCATTAGATATCCAGATACTATGCATACCAAAAAATAACACCAAAACCTCCATCAAAACATAAAGGAATGTGCATAATGGAGAGAAGACGTATTTTTTTTAAATGAAGATATTAGCACAAATGTTTTATATAATGAGTTTGACCAGAAGAAGACTATAAGGACAGGATTATCTCTGTACTAAAAGAGAAGTTTTCAAGCCAACTCTGATCAACATTGCCAAGATATTGAAACTCCATGCTTGGTGGTATAAATATAAATAAAGCTGGTGAGAAGGCATCATGTAACTTCAAGGAAGACTCCAGAGATTTTGTTCACAGCCTGACATAGATGCCTTGCCATTCAGACAGTTCGATTCAGGGTCTGTGACTTGTGGAGTGTTTCTTTTTGACAATTTTTCGAGATTTGGGAGAAATCAAATGATCTTGCAGGTCATAAACTAAAAAACCCTCTTGTATCTTAGGATAATTGTTTTGGCTTTGTATCTTGGATACAGATCCATATGGGATGTTGCAAAATGGGAGTCTTTTGAGGGCGGTTTGTACTTTAAATGTGGGCATGTCCGGAATTTTGGAAACTGGAATATTTCAGCTTCATTATTTTCACTTGCAGGCCAGATTCACCTCTTTGAAACACAAATGATCTTGAGACCACTTCATTTTACTGACATTTTGACAAGTTGGAAATGCCAATAGTGTCTATTACTGCAGTTAAACTCTAGGCATCATTTATTTAAGTGCTGGAAAATGCCCAGTTGATTGGTAAACTCAAGTTCTTTCAGTGAAAGTGCTGCCTTTTCACACCAAATTTAAGAAGTGTTGTGATGTCTTGGGCACTTCATGAGAGAACTCCCAACAGGTGTGAACAGAATTCTTCCAAGTGACGGCCTGGATGGCCCGTTCTCAAGTCACCAGTGCTGCTATTGTCTTTTCTGTTGTAGTTGTTATTGCTGATGTTGTCATGGTTAATGTTGTATTTAAAAAAAAAAAAATGAAATGAAGTGGAAGTAGGCTGTGTAGTCATTGAAAGGTCTCTCTTCTTCTTCTTCTTCTTTTTTTTCTCTTCTTGGGATTCAGTTAAAAAAATGCAATGTTGGGAAAAAGGATTTGTTTCTGAAAGACTTTCTATGGTGCTATTCCATAAATGTTTTTTTTTTAAACAAAATTTTTGACCTTTGAGCCAACCACCTGTAGACTATGAATGTCTCCCTATGTCTGTCTGGTGGCATTTGAAGACTAAAGACTTGCTAAGTGTATCAAGAGTGTATCATTGCAAGGGCAGCACTTGTCCTGTGGAACAATTACTTATAATGCCTTAGAATTCTTGCACATGATCAAACAGATCCTCCGAGAGACACACTTTTTGAAAGGTTGAGGAAAACAACATATGTTAATTAGCAGCTCTGTGAGGAAAATCCATTTCCATGACTGAGAACATTGGGTATAAATATGGTGACCTGCTTTTGTCGTAGAAAATGAATTTTCTGCTTGAAAGCCATGCGTGTTTTTAATATTGTGTATGTATATGTGAGGTTGTCTGAATGAGTGAAGCTACAAGAAGGTGAAAAGCAGTGGGTGGTGGAAAAGTTACAATTTATGTGCCAAGTTCTACTAGAATCCTGTCTGAAGTAGCACCTTTCTTAGGAGGTTTCATGGACAAATAATGGGAACTTCTAATTATTATCCACGCCATTAAAAAAAAGGCTTTTTCCTTTACAGAAACTCTATTTTGATATGTTTTAATGTTGATGTAGATTGCTATATGAAGTAAATTTGTTTCTGTTACCTGTCCATGAACATTTGACATTTAATAAAATTGGGTATTTTTCTTTATTTTTACAAAATTAAACTATACACACAGGTGTAGTTTATTCATTTTTTTGTCATTGTTACCCTGAAAAATATTTTCTTGCATATGAATTACAATATGTAAATACATTTTTAAAACCAGTCTTTTGATCTTACTCAATGTTACTTTGGGAATGTGTAACTATTGCCTGCAATGTAATGAGCTTTTTTAGTGGAGCTGATTTATTCCAGTAACTTCTTCTATATTTTTTCATTAATCTTCAATTAGCCAAATATATCAGCAATGGGAAAGAGGAAAAAATACCATTAACACCTAGTGTATTACACTATGCCTAGCCCAGTACTAGGCACAGGACACTAGCTTTTTTTTTAAACTTTATGCTACCCTTTGAGAATTGTGGTGATGTTCTCATTTTGTAGATCAGGAATGGAGGCTCATAGAAGGTATGTAATATTCCCAGGGTCACCGTGTAAAGTTAGATGTTGAAACCCAGCTTGTCTGATACAAAAATCTGTGCTTGTTCTACAAAATGTAGTAGAATCAATCTTGACATATATAAATAGTAGACATGTTTTTATGATGAAACATTTCCACATAAAGTAAATTTTAGGGGTGAATTACAGTAAAACCTTCAGGATAAATATATTGTTCTTTTCAGGAACAGCATGACAATTCGAATATCAACTGTAGATATCTTTAAGAACCACAGGTAGTGCTAGAAATTAAACAACAACAACAACGACACCTACTCTGTAGTTCAGAGTTAGTAACCATGGATGGACCTTTTGTTAAAATAAATGCATTAAATTATTTTATCTGGTGTAGTAGGGGAAATGTAGTGTTCTACTTTAAGAAATATTCTGGATATTACAAATGACATCTTATTAGGTCACAATGAGCTGCAATCAACACAACCGAGAAATGAAAGTGAAAAGATACTTAGAAGGCATTTATGGAGATGTTGCAACTTCAGGTCTTCAATGTGAACATTAATTTTTATTGTATCTTATGTCAGATATCAATTCACTGCATATTATTTTTATATTAATTCAATTTTGGCTTAAATGTGTTGTTAAATGAAAGTACAAACAGCTTTGTTGTTATTTTGTTAATAATTGTTAGTTACTGTTTTAAACATTTTATTAAATTAATTTTGTAAATTATTTTTAACCCCTACATCAGTATACTGGTTGTGCTCTCTATCTGCCAAAGTTCTCACTCCTATACAATCCTGACTATACACAGAAAAAAACTGCTCCTACTTAATATGATTTTATTAAATTATTTTTCAAGTCAATTTTGAATATTAATCTACTTTATTAATGAGGTAATGACTTAGCATAATTCACAAACAACATTTAAAAAAATTGTATGAGAAACAGTAATAGTATTTCCAAAGTCTCCAAATGTCCCCTTCCTGTATTGGCTGGATTTTTGCTATGTACGACTAATTTTAATATATCACAGTATCAGATTCAAATTCTGTCCAATTTTGTTTTTAAATTTCTTAGTCTTTTTTATTTGGTTTCTTTTACTCCTGTATTTTTGATGGTAAGCCTGAAATATTAAATTTTGCTCTCCCATATAGAAAATCTCTAAAAGTGCATCGAATGACTAATTATTATTCTTCATAAGGCTAAATATTACTTTTTAAAAGTAAACTATAGCTATGTGTGACATTTAAAAATAAAGCAGTTCTCAAAATGTTTGGAAATTGTATTTAGTGACAATGGGAATAAAACTTGCTTTTTGGAAAACCTTTAATACCACTTGTGAAATCTGGCATGGGAGGAAGAAAACAGGAAAAATAATCACCTTCTAAAGTTTATAACTTGAAGTAATGCTTTCCATTTTATAAGAAAAATTATGTAAAATGAGCATATCAAAAAGAAAACAAAAAGCTGGTCTGTGAATGAGTTAAAGCTTTTTATGCTTCCATGCATAGTAAGTGGTTGCTAATGAACAGTTAGCTGTTAATCTTTAGTGTTATTGTTATAAAATTAAGACACATTGTCATTAGCTTAAGAAATAATTGATGTAATGGATGGATCTAATACGTTGTGAGATATTATTATTAGTCTCCAAACTTTCTGTTGACATCAACTTTTTTCATTGTCCAGCCACAACCTCCCCGCCTCTTTCAGCCCCGCACCAGTATATTCAGCCTGTGTCCAGGCTTGCCCTGTGACTCTAGTCAACTCCTGTGCAGAGACTATGCAGAATGATTCCAAAAAGATTATAGGGCCCTGAGTACATCTCACTGTATGCAACTTCCCTCTCATCCAATATTTTAAATAAAAAATTAAAACCGTAAAATCAACTTCTAACTTTAGAAAACTTGAAATGGAAACATACCTGGGTTAAAGCAGATGAAGATTGAAGACTTAAGAAGGCAACATGCAGCTTAAGACATGTGGACAAAAGGTCCTGGTACCTGATCTTGCCTTAGCTGCCAGGGTGGAGGTGTTGAGTAAATAATGAAATTACTTGTGTTATTATGTGTTATTTCTATGTGCCATACAAGCTACTAGCTTCACCAATCCCTCCACTCTTACCGAGCTCTGTCTACCTATGTTGTTTGTGTAGCTGAGAAACCAGTTATATAACATTTCATTTTTGCCCAACTATCAAGCTTTTTGGCATATTTGCATCTGAAATAAAAATAGCCACTAAGGCTATTCAAAGCAGCTTATAATACTGTAAACGTGCTTAATGCTTCAGTGTATTTTACAAATTACATTTAAAAAACCAGATCCGGTGGTGCTGCTTCTATTAAATATTATAGGGTGATTATATTAGTCATAATATTTATACAACATATCTAAGAACTAACAAATCTCATATCTGTCAAAAGCTCAATTAGGAATATTTTTAAAAGAGTAACTACTAGAAATTTAGTTAAAAATGATAATTTTCAATCAAAATGTAGAAGTGCATTTATATTCCCTCATGATATTTTTATGTCAGAATCAGGGACTCAGAAATGACAGCTAAATGCTAAAATAATGGTGATAAGGTTTAGGTCGGGGGAGGGGTTTATTTCAGGGAATGTCATTAAATTATTTAAACAGGAAGATTGCCAGAAAAGACAAAGTGAAAGTATTGTAGATAATAAAGTTTAGATAAAGCTACCCTAAAAGAATATTTAGTGAACATTCTTTAGGAGGCTATGATTAAAATTCAAAGTAAATTACAAGAAAATTTTCTACAAGGATCTAATAAATTTGTTAAAGTCCTTTATATACCACTGAATGTCTGTTATCTGTGTTTGAATTCCCTGGGAGTAAAGGGTCCTCATAACAAGTTTTGCATTTTCAACCCAAAAGACATATTACAACCATGCAGTTTATTCACTCATTTATTTCATCTATTTCTTCATTCCATAAATATTTGCTTAATTCCTTCGAATATGCTCAGCACTGTGCTAAGTACTAAAAATTTAATGAAAGGTTGAAAAAGAAAAAAAATCACAATTTTTGCTTTTGTGAAGGTTAAATTCTAGTTTAAGAGATAAACATTAATTAAATGCAATCACAAAGTGTGAAAATTGCAATATAAAACATGCATTTGTATTTTACAGCCATTCTGGGGACATTATTCCAAATAGCCTGGTTTGCATTTTGAGACAAGCATTAACATCAACTTTTCCTTATCCTTGGTTTTCTACTATCTTCTTACTTGCATTTGTTCTTTTTAAAATTTCAATTGTCCTCTAAAATTAACTCTTTTTTTTCCATCAATCACTTGTATTTTTAACTCGTAAATTATTCATTCTCAAGATGGATGATGGGGGTGGCATAGCATATCAAAATTCTGATGTTCATGTAATTAACAAATAGAACTAAACAATATAACTTACAAAAAGCACTACCAATGGCCAGCACCAATAGTGCTTGATAAATTCTAATTCTTATTGATACACATTAAGATTCTTGAAACCCCAAATCTCCAATCAATGCTGGCCTAATTGGTGGAAAAGGGATGTTTTGCAATTGCAGTATGACTTGTGGGACAGTGAAATGCCTCACTGCCTCACTATTTGCTTCCTTCTCCAAGTCAACATCTATGTTTTAAATGTTGGTAAAATCCCTGGGATACTCAGACCTCTCAAGAGCATACTCATATAAAAGCACTCTATGGGCATATACTTGCAATATTGTGGCCCTACAGATAATGCTTAATTGAATGTGATGTGATGCCACAATAAAAAAAAAATTATGAAATGTTTAGGTAAGAGGAATCCAAAATAACAAGTAGCATAATTAGACTTTAGAACATTGGCTACTAGAATTATCACATGTAGAGTAAAATGATTTAAAAAAAGAAAGAAAATTTGTGGAAAAGGTATAGACACTATCAAAATACTGAGATTTTTAAAAAGAATAAGTTGAATTTGTAGAAACAAAAAAATACAGTAATTGAAATTTAAATTTAGATTAGGTACAGCTGCCGATAATAATTTATGAATTGGGAGAGTTTAAGCTGAGAGAGACAAAGAGATGAGAAAATATATTTAGAGATACGGAATAGAATGTGAATATTCAATATATATTATTAGGGGTTTAAAATGTGAATACAGAGAGTGGAGGAAAATAAAATACTGAATAGACAATATCTGAAATGCCTCGGAACTTTTGGAAGATGTGTATCTTCACATTCAGTAAGTTCCCAAACAAAATAAATAAAAGGAAAACTACACCCAGACACAGAGTACTGAAACTGAATAACAGAAAGTTAAAGAAAAACATCTTAAAAGCAACCAAAGAAAAGATTACCTAGAAGGAATTACTTTCAGAAATACAGTGTATACATTTTGAAATAAAGTCTTCAAGGTATTTATAGTAAATAATTGTTAATCTAAATTTTTGTACTCTGTTGAAATACTAGTTACAGGTGGGAATTAAATTAAGTCAATTTCAGATTAGTGAAAACAAAGTTTACCACTAACAGATACTCATTGGGTTGTTTTTTTTTTTAAGATTTTATTTATTTGTCAGAGAGAGAGCACAAGCAGGAAGAGTGGCAGGCAGAGCAGGAAGAGGGAAAAGCAGGCTCCCCACTGAGCAAGGAGCCTGATGTGGGACTTGATCCCAGGACCCCAGGATTACAACCTGAGCTGAAGGCGAGCGCTTAACTGACTGAGCCACCCAGGTGCCCCTAGATACTCATTGTTAAAGGAATTTTCTTCTAGAAGAAAAATGAAAACAGGAATGAGTGATACACAAGAAAGAATAGTGATCAAACTAATTGGTGATTATGTACCAATTTAAAAGATATTAATACTATAAAAATAATAGCCATGACTAATTTGAAGAGGAAGTGGAATTAATTATGAGAAAATATTATGTACAATTAAAGAGGAATCATTGGATTGAGGGGTTCTAAGTTCCTCATAGTGTTTGAGGAGAGGATTAATTTTATACTTTGTTAAATACCTAGTAAAGTTATAAGGGTAACCAAAAGACTAAGAGCAGGATAAATAACTTCTAACCGATAGAGAGGGAAAATAAATTTTAAAATAATAAATATTAAGGATAGCTTAAAAAAGGGGGGGGAAATTACATAAAAAATAAAGAAAATGGAAAGTATAAAATAAGATGGCCAAAACAATGTGTAAAATTTAAAATTTAAAACATGTATCTGCCTGGTGTTTTTCTGTTTTCCTCCGGTAATGTCATCTAGTGCTTTGCCCGGACAGAGCTTAACATGAGGCTAGCAAAGGACAAACATGCAAAAGTACCAGCTCCATTTGCCACAGTGGGCAATGAAAAAACATATTTTGAATTGAAAGACAATAAATAGACAACTGGTAATTTATAAAATGACATAATATTGAGAATATAAGAGCATGTGATATGTAACATATTTTGTGATTTTAAGATTTTTAAATTAAATTCACAACCATAAGAATTAAATATTTAACTAAATTTTAAAAATGAAAGTTTCTATACACCATAAATTGTACAAAAATAAAATTCTCAATTTGAAGTGACCATTTCCTAATTTTCCTGTTTCTCCTTTTCCCTTTAGCTCTTCCTGAAGGAGATCAACATTAATAAATCTATTGTTTAAAAAACATGTTTTCAAAGATTTCTTAAATAAGATATCATAATTAATGTATATCTATATTGATTTTTAATTCAGATTCAGCATTTTTAGAGTGCACAATAGCTTGTGAGATAAGTATTATTCCAATTTTACAGACAGGGAACTCGAATAGAAAATAAATAATAATTTTTCCAAAATCACATTGTGTCGGTGATAAAGAAAATGTATCTGAAAAGGAGTTGATATACCCATTACATTTTAAATTTTAAAAAGTAATTATAATTCAGATTTTTGTTTTAATATTTATCATTTTGAATACTAATATATTCAAAACTAAGTCTCCCTTAAAAAAAGAAAAACCACTAACTTTCCCATTAAGTAAATGATTTATTCTGCTTAATTAAATTGTATTGATTTCTATTTAGAATTATGATGGAATAGCTTGCTACAAACTAATATATTCTACCAAGAACACATAGAAAAGTAGGGTGACTTTTTCAGCTTTATTGACAAATATAACTGACAAAATTGTAAGATATTTAAAGTGTACAACATGATGCTTTGAAATATGTATACATTACAAAAGGGATTCCCCTCATTGAATTATCACATCCATCACTTCAAATATTTACTTTTGTGTGTGTGAGAGAATATTCAAGTTTTACTCCTTAGTAAATTTAATTATACACTACAGTGTTACAGAATATAGTCACCATGCTATACATTAAATCCTCAGAACTTACTCATCTTAAGACTTAAAATTTGTACATTTTTAT